TAGGGTAATAGATTTTCGTCTCAGTATTGCACGAAGATTCAACACACACTCATGTTAAGAAAAACAATCAGTAGATATACTAGAAATTTTTACGTGAAAACCAGTAAATGAGAAAAACAACGAGGCCTATGTAAAAAAAATTCACTATAAGTTGATGATTACATAAGACCCCTTATCCCACAGGCGAAGGAGAAAGGGATACAAAGCCTTCTAAGTTACAACTTCGATGCGAGGATGAAATTGTCACAATGAAAGAGCGACAACCAACAACGATCGGCGACGCCCGAGATGTGATGGTCGATTCCGGCCAGCGGTGATGCTGGACTTCATCTTCATCTCAAAGCTTCAAGCTCTCCCTCAATTCTCAACCTCATGAGAGGGGTGAGATTCTATTTATAGTGTTGTTGGTGCAATAATACATGAATATAAACCATATTGATCGGACGGCTCATAGTGTTGCGCTTGATCAGCCCACGTTTAATAGATATTCAAATGTCTTAATAATGTCAGAATGGAGCGAGCTTGGGCTCGTTGGATTACTTTCGCCGAGACGCTCGATTTGATTATAAATTCGTCAGATTTTCCATTTATTTAACCTTCCAAATATATTCGAAAAACTTCCAGAAGTGATTTAATGTCTTGATTGGAGCTTGATTTGACTCAGATTGGACTAATATTGGTATTATTTGATTGGACTAATATTGGTATTATTTGGTTCATCCTATTGAGTTGATCTGTTTGACTAAAGTTTGCTGAAATCAAATTTCTGGATAATTTTTCATCAAGGTTTAAATGTTTCTTACTCAAAATATTATTCTGATTTATATAAATATTATTCTGATATATTATATATATATAAGGGAGCTTTAAAATTAGCTTAAATTATTTGGGTCACTTAAATCCCCACTCGCCCCTTTAGCACGAATTGAGCCGTTTTGTAAAAACAAATAATAAAAAAATAAGCTTAGTGACCCACCCAATCACATCTTCATTCTTTGGAGGTTAGTCCCGACATTATGTCTCTTCAGAAAATAATACATGCCATCCAATTTCTACCTATTTATTGATTTATATCTAAATTTTATTTTTTATATTTTTATCACCTAAAGTTTTCATATAAATATCACCATTTTAAATTTTTAAAATGTAAAGTATATTATTTTTTGACCTTGTCACACACACACATATATATTTCGCGTACCATGACTTGTTGGCTGACATCCACGGTATAAGATTGCTCAGGTCGGGGGTTTCATTCCTCTCAGGCTCTGTTGACCTCAAAGAGGTGGTATTTCAGTTGTTAAACATTTTAAGAGTGGTTGGAAGCTTTTATAATAGCCTATTCATTCATTATACAAAAAGAATGCGTTTAAAATTTGTAGTTTATAGACGCCTCGTATTTTCATACAATTTTCTATTTTTACATATTCAACATCTAACTTTTCATATTTACATATACATAACTCAATTAACGTCTTATAAAAGATATCACTATTTTTAATTTTTTTTTAAATTATTATTATTATTTTAAAAGTCGTAATTTTTTTTCATATATAAGTTTATAACTTTAAAGTATTATAACTAAAGATGTCAAATTATATATAATGTCCTAAATGTAGAAGAATTATGTAAGAAAATAACATGCTTCTTTGATGAACGCATTTGACGGCCAGATGTTGCTCCAGGCCAATTTAATGCTGCACGTTTGACACGTGGCACCGACTGTAGTGTTCAGAGACCTAAGGGACCGTACGGGGGTGGTAGTATTTAAAATACCCCGGTTTTTATAAGAAATTACGGACGGGCCGAGAGCCACTATAAGACCCCAATCATTTCTTATGACTGTTTTGATTCGTCGCCCGGATGCCGAGCTGTGTCCGGACGACGGCTGTGCTAATATCTATCAAATAGAACGGATCAATGTCGAGCACAAGCCACATAGATAAAGAAAAATGACAACAATCGTCAGTAGAACTCTTCCAACATAGGCGATAGAGCAAAGACCGCACAAACAATTGAAAAAAAAAAAACAAAGAAGTCGAAAATATCAAGCCAAAATCTAGAATATCAACACCATTAGTGTTGGGTAGATAATACCGCAATGGAAAATGGAGTGCAGCAGAAACTAGAGATCAGAGAGAAGGGATGAATAAAGGAGAAGAGAGATGCCACCAAAACTGCACCGGAGTTGGGGGGGGGGGGGGGGAAGAGCAGAGAATAACGAGAGAAGCACTACAGTTACAAAAGGGCTAGCGGGGTCACGAGGTCGAGCAACAATGAAGGCGGGAGAAAATTTTCTTGTAAACAAAATGCAGGCCCCGGGGTTGAAGTACGACGGTTGAACTCACGAACGCAACATAAGTGAAATTATAGTAAATATTTTGCATATATCTCATTCACTTTTGATGAATTTATATATATAATATCTTGAGTTTTATATGCATGCCACTCTACATTTGCATGAAAATATGTATAACATTCTAAAAATTAAAATGATGATAATCTTAATGCGATGTGAAAATTTTAAGCTTTAGGTGTTAGATATGTAAATACACAAGAAAGACTGGTATATATATATATATATA